TGAGGAACTAGCTTCATTCCAGGATTTAATTTTCCACTTAAAGTTAATTATCCATGGCCCCAGTGTTATCTGCAATAGAGGTAAGATCCTTGAACTGAAAGATAAAGCATGGGGCTGAAACACCCCCTTTCAACCTATCAGTACTTTATAACTAAGATTATTTGCCTCACAGGATTATGATGAAGTGAAACGTGTCAATATGTCTTTCTGAGAATTCTGTTAAATAGCATACTTATAGTATTATAAACATATACTTGCAGAGTAATTTTAGTGCCAACTCTGAATGAAGTACCAGAAGATCTTTCTGTTATTTTCCAAAAAGCTACGCTAGGCCAGGCGCGGTGGCTCATGCCTGTAATCTTGCAGCTGCTCGTGATCATGCGCGCCTGCTGTCTCAGCTACTCGGGAAGCTGAAGAGGGAGGATCACCTGAGTCTGAGGAAGGTCAAAGCTGCAAAGAGCTGTGATGGCGCCACTGCACTGCAGCCTGGGTGACAGAGTGAGACCCCAACTTGGGGCAGGGGGCAGAAAGGTACCTTTAATCAAACATCTGAGCTGGGAGAGTGTTAGACTGAAAAAACTATGCTGCTGGTTCTCTATGGATCTATGTCTTTGTCCATCACTTACAGGCTGTCTGGGCAGATTTCATGAACAGTTTCATTCATTTATTTATTGAGGCAGGGTCTCACTGTGTCACCCAGGCAGGACTGTAGTGGCACGATCTCGACTCACTGCAGCCTCCACCTCCTGGGTTCAACTGATTCTCCCACCTCAGCTTCCTAAGTAGCTGCGACTTAGAGGCATGTGCCCAACATTTACTTTTATTCTGAGCCTATACAGAATAAAATTGCTGTAGCAAGCAGCCCAAATGAGGTTTAATATATCACGAATTAACACAAAACACTGATGGCGGGGGTTGGGGGGGGTGTCACTCGATTATGGTGACCATAATGACTGCTGAATATCACCACCGAATACCTGAGTAGAAAGCACCAAAGAGACAAAGGTACTGGGTTGAGTGCAAGTGCATATATTTTAAATCATTTAATGCTTGCATCAACCCTAAACAGGGTCTTATTTTCATTTTATGTTAGAGAAAAACAATTTGAGAAAAACTCAGGTGCTGACAACGGGCGGAACAGGGATTCGCACAAAGTTCAGCCCAGAGCCTCGGACCCTCCGCTAATCGGCCGCAGCTTTCCTTCTCTCCCGACCTCCCTCGGCGGCGACGGGAACCAGGCCTCTGCCGCGCGCCACTGGGCCCGCCTCCGCCCCATGCGTAGTCCCCAGCCCGGACGCGGTCCGCCCTCACCCTCGGCGCTGTCGCGGGTCTGGCGAAAGTCCTCGGAGCGGCCGTCGCGGAAAGCTCGGCAAAGAGAGAGGCAGAGGAAATCGAGCATCCAGCCGGCAGCCACAGCCTCGGCCTCAGCCACAAGGCCCGCATCCTCCTCCTCCTCTGGAGCCCCCAACTGCACCTGGCACTCGAGCAGTTCCTGGCACTCGAACTGCTCCTCGTCGTTTCTCTCCGTTTCTGCTATCCGCTCCTCGGTAGCGTCGGCATCCCTACCATCCGCACAGCCCCGGGGACTCGGAGCAGCTGAGGAGGCGTCCTCCGCCATGTCAAACGGCTTGCGCGGGTACTGGCCCTTTAGGCGCCGAGCAACGATTGGCTAGCCTTCCCGGGTGCGGGGCGTGGCTGCGGAGGGTCGCTTCCGGCAGCGGAAACCACCAATCACACCGCCAGGACGGGCGAGCGGCTCAAGCCTGGCTTCTGATTGGCCGAGACCTGTTCCTGCCTCTGGGCGTTAAATTTCTCGCCAGTCTGAAGCCGGGCCTTGCATGTAACTGGAGGACTCCGTATTGAGCGAGGAGTGAGGTTATGCTAGGAGGCAGCTTTATCTTCCTTATTCCTTGTAAAATGAAACCTTGACTGGAAAAACAACACAGTTAGTTAAAATGAAACGCATTTGCCTGCCGCCCATTTCAGAAAGAGGTGGGTAGTGAGAATCTGTCACTACTAGTCAAGTATAACACTTTTAAACCCTAGTATTCATCTAACGGTTACTACATGATCACGAAACAGAACTATTCCAACTGACTAACATCCGTGCTTCTCCAACCTCAGCATGTGTCAGAATCAGCCTGGGGGCTTGCTAAAACACAAATTGCCGGGCTTCAGTCCCGGAATTCCTGTTCTGTTAGTCTAGCTTGGGGGTCCTTGAACTTGAAAGTCTAACGCTACTTGGCAGGACACCACATTTTGAGATCACTGCTCTAGAAAGAGTATACTGCTGTGAAAATGTATCTCAATCAAGGTTTGAGATCGACTATAGAATGCAGTTTACAGAAAATAATAAGTGAATTTTGAAACTTAGCACAAAAGGAGAGTCTAAGCGGGGATGAATGGTCTGGTTAGTTTTTTGTTTTTTGTTTGTTTTTTGCCTTTGAGCCAGATTTCCCTCTGTTGATCAGGCTGCTGTCCAACTCCTGGCCTCCAGTGATCCTCCTGCCAAAGTGCTGGGTTTCCAGGCCTGACCCACCATGCCCGGCTCCGTTTTTGTTTGTTTGTTTTTTGAGACGGAGTTTCACTCTTGTTACCCAGGCTGGAGTGCAATGGCGCAATCTCGGCTCACCGCAACCTCCGCCTCCTGGGTTCAGGCAATTCTCCTGCCTCAACCTCCCGAGTAGCTGGGATTACAGGCACACACCACCATGCCCAGCTAATGTTTTGTATTTTTAGTAGAGACGGTGTTTCACCATGTTGACCAGGATGGTCTCGATCTCTTGACCTCGTGATCCACCCACATCGGCCTCCCAATTTTTTTTTTTGTTTTTTGTTTTTTTTGAGGTGGAGTCTGACTCTGTCACCTAGGCTGGAGTGCAGTGGCATGTTCTTGGCTCACTGCAGCCTCCACCTCCCGGGTTCAATTGATTCACCTGCCTCAGCCTCCTGAGTAGCTGGGATTACAGGTGTGTGCCACCACACCCAGCTAATTTTTGTATTTTTAGTAGAGACAGGGTTTCACATGTTGGTCAGGCTGGTCTCAAACTCCTGACCTTGTGATCTGCCCGCCTCGGCCTCCCAAAGTGCTGGGATTACAATCCTGAGCCACCGCATCTGGCCAGGCTCCGTTTTCTGTTCCTTGATGTGGGTAATGGTTACATCAGTGTGTTCACTTTATGAAAATTCACTGAACATTGTTTATGCGCTTTTCAGTATGTGTGTCATAATTGAATAACAAGTTTACTTTAAAAGCCCTTGTAGCCGGGCGCGGTGGCTCACGCCTGTAATCCCAGCACTTTGGGAGGCCGAGGCGGGTGGATCACAAGGTCAAGAGATCGAGATCATCCTGGTCAACATGGTGAAACCCCGTCTCTACTAAAAATACAAAACATTAGCTGGGCGTGGTGGTGCGCGCCTGTAGTCCCAGCTACTCGGGAGGCTGAGGCAGGAGAATTGCCTGAACTCAGGAGGCGGAGGTTGCGGTGAGCCGAGATCGC